GAAGGACTTCACTGAGCAAAGAGGGGAGTTTGGATCCCGCTGTAGGACTGCCACTTGGTTGGTGTTATCAACAAGGTTGCTTCTGATCAGCTTGTTGAGTAAGGATTGGGCGGCTCTGTCCTCTTTCTCTTCTTCGTCTGTCTTCTCTGCATTAGCATTGGTCTTGACAACAGCACCACTGGCATCTGGCTTGATTTTCTCTTCCTTAAGATTCAAGTTGCTCAGCGACTCGGCCGCCGCTTCCTGCTCGCCCACCGCCAGGGCGCACGAGTCGGTGGCCAAGGTGCCAGGCGCAGCTGAGGCGCTGGTGCTGGCGAGCTGGCCGGCCAGCGCGGCGCGATGAGCCATCCGCGATCCCCGACAACTCCGGCCCCGCCAATGGGGAAGGAAAGTCATTCGCTCCTCCCAGAATTGTTAAGGCTCTTTGCTCCGTTATCACCTGCCTTCCAGTGCTGCTGTTGAAAAGTACAAGCATTTCAATTCCTGACACTTTATATGGGACCTGCCTTCTCCTCTGGAAGCTTTTAGGTTTCTCTTTGTTTCCAGTGGCATGAAATTTATAAGAATATGTCTTGATACGGAAATTGCAACCTTTGTACTGAACTCCCACCCCCGTTCGTTCAGTTTGGAAAATCGGACTCTTCTAGAATTTTTTTTTTTTTTTTACTTTGCTCTCTTGTGTTTGCTTTATTCTCTTTTTTTTTTTTCCCCCCTGAAACTCCTGTTATTTGGAAGTTGAAGCCTCTGGGTAATTCTCTAGTTTTTATGCCCTTCTTCTCCTATTGTCCATCTCTTTGTCCTTTCTGTTTTACTCTTTAGACGCTTTCCTTAACTTTGTCTTCTAGACCGTCTTTTGAATTTTCATTTCTGCTGTTATATTTTTAATTTCCAAAAACTCTTTCTTATTCTGAGTTTTTAAATAGAAGTTTGTTCTAGTTTCGTAGATACAATCATCTCTTAGCTTTCAGCTTTGGGTGTTAGTCATAGTTGATTTTTCTGTTTGTTTTGGTCTCTCATGTTAGAAGTTCTCCAGGGAACACTGCTGTGCTCACATTGAAGAACGAGGCATCAGTCGGGAGGGCAGAGCTCAATGGTAGAGCGCATGCTTAGCATGCACGAGGTCCTGGGTTCAATCCCCAGTACCTCCTCTAAAAATAAATAAACCTAATTACCTGCCCCTGCTGAAATAAAATAATTAAGTATAAAGAACAGGCCATCAAATAATCAACTGGCAGCTCTGTGTTCATAGGTAGAGCTTGTCACCCTTATGCTTCCCTGAAGGACAACCTCACTGGACCATCTACATAGGAAACCAGC